TCCCAGTTTGCATTTGGTAAAATACCAAAAATAAGTGCAATGTTTATTTTTTAAACAAAAATATAGGAGGCACTGATCCCTTAGTTAAGAGGTATTACACAAAATCACTTTAAAATCCCCTTTAAATAGGCATTAAAGGAAAATGGTAATCACTGCACACAGCTAGAATCTCCCTCATCCTAGCTGTGTTGACCTTTAAGATCCTTGTTAGAGAACTCCTTAAGATAAATGTTTTTATTATCTTCTCCCAGATATAGCATTTTCTTTACCTCCCATTGCGAAGAGCTGTTGTCATCATTTTAGTCATCCTTCTGACTTGTAAGCTGGGTGTTTACAATGTGGTAAGAACATTAGAACCATCACTCTCACAGGAAAAAAAAAAAAAAAAAAGCCAACTCTAATGGAACAATCTAACTTGCAGCTGTGGAGGAAGCCGAATCATGTCTAAACTTACATATTTTAATCCCTAAGTAATAGCAAAATATTGCACATCTATGTAATGCACACAGCATCAACTGGGAGAGGCAACAGTTATTCAGGGGCAATAAGAAGATATGTAGCCACTACATAAGAAGGATGTCCATCTTTTCCTTCAGCAAATAAATACGAGTGTACAAATCTTAATACATCTGGTTCTTGCCACACACATCTACTATCACATACTGTGATAGCAGGTCATTTTAAGATCTGAGCCTTTAAGTCAAAAAACCACTGCATTAACTCATTACTTCCCTGAAAACACAAAGAAATACACCTCCTTCACCACCTCCCTTCACCATTAAAACCACTACCAAAAATAAACACTATTATATTCAACAGTTAGGAGGCATTTTTCTGGTAAGTGGTGACCTGTTTTTTCTTCTAACTTTACTTGAATGCTCTCTTTCTTATGTCTCATCTTCTTATTATGACCTGAGCAGAAAGACTGGATTCTTGGGGCTAAATATTATATTTCTGTTTCTTTACCACATCCAACCACTTCAATATTTACTCTGTGTTGATACATACCTAAGAGTCCAAATACTTGTGTGTTACATCAGACATCAAATTTATTCATTTGGGAGAGTTCAGCAGTGGGGGAAAATAGGTAGACTCTTTCTTTTCTAGGATGTATGTGTGTGGAAAAGTTTAAACATAAAATAACTTGGTTATAAAATGAAGCTGTCTTTAACAAATGAAGTGCCAATGCCCTCAGGAAAATACAAGATGGAATAATATGTCAGTTATTAGCTGGCAGAAAACTTGAGTTACATTTTTATACCCTCTCTTATTTAACTGTGGATAAAGTCACTGCATGCATAGTAGGCCAGATTAGTTCATGTTCTTGCCTGTTTGAAATACTCTGGGGAGGTATCAGGAAGCTCAATCTATCCAGCATTCTATTCTTGAAATACCTCATATACACTCTTACACTGTGCTTTAGCTTGGGCTGACTGAAAATTGGGTCATTTTAAAAAATATTTTATGCTTTTACCTCTATCTAGTAATTGTTTTTCCTGTGTTTGCTGTAAGATGTAGGTTAGATATGTTGAGGATGTTAGGTATAGATAGGTGTAGATTCGTACTAATAAACTCATATCTATGAATAGTTTCCTGGTGATTCTTAATCCTTGCACTAAACAGGTTCAGGGTTTTTTGTTTTTATTTTTCCTAATTTGTTTAATAAGCATGAAACATTCATCCTGCAAAAGAAATAGGAAAGAAAATTCACCAGCCTCTGATGACTGAATATTACATGCTGAAAGATGTCAGAATATATACAGCACAGAAAAAGTAATTTTTTCTCAGAAGAAACTGTTTTACAGTACTACTTCCTTACAAAGCCTGCCTGATATAGAGAAATAATATGATTATAGTATTCACAATAATGCAATTGATTGTCAGCAAGTACAAAGCAAGTAGTAATACTAATTCTCCTTTTTATTTTCTCCTGGTAGCTCTTTTCTTATACAAACAAAATAGCACAGTCCTGAAGGCTGCTATCACATGTTCTGGTCCAATTCAGAAGAACTAAACTCACAGCTAATCAGTATTTGATAGCTAAATTTACAAAGACACAATTTTGTTCAATTGTAAACTACTTGGTTCATCATATAATGCATCATAAACAATTGAATTTAATGTAGTACTTTTGACTTATCAAGCCACCAAACTTCTATTCAGAAAGTTTCTTTAATTATCATTGAATCAACAGTTGATTAAGGAAACTTGAGAGTTCATCATACAGAAAGTGAAGAACTGATTCATTGGAAAAGATCAGTTACGGGGAAGAAAACTAGGACAGAAAAAACGAACTAAGCAACATTCATAATTATTTAATGGTATACCAAAGAAACAGTCTTGTCTTCTTTAGGGAAATTATACAGAGAGATGAGCTAAATTTAAGAATCTTTCATGTTGTGGCCAGGAAGGGAGAAGGGAAAATCCAGTTTTGGGGATTTGGTGCCTGTCTTTGAATAATTAGATGCATTGTTTGTGACAAATAGCTAAAAGCTACACAAACAGATGTACAAGCACTCAAAAATATGGTTAAGCCTCTTCTACAAATTGGAATAACTGTGTTTAGAAAACAGAATACTTTCTGTGCTTAAGAAATTCTTTCTTACGTCGATGTGTTTCCCAGACTTTGCAATAGAAAGCAAGCATAAAATGAATATTTTATCTTTTATTAAATCAATTATGGATTTAAGGCTGTACTTCATGTACAAAATATAGTTATCTTGACAATGAAATTCAATTTAAATTCAATCAGTTTTGGAATTAATCTACACTGACTTTAATGATTTTCTCTATGAAGAATACTGTTTATAACTGTTTGATTGTGATAGCTTGATCTGCTCTCAGACATACAATTTTGTTCATTGCATTTACCTGTCTTTCTCTGGATTTGTTTTGATTGCTACCACATGACTATGATGCAAAAATCAAAATTTTCTACCAAAGCTTGTTATTTCTAATGTGAACTGAAAATCTGAAAATTGATGTTATTGTCTCCATCCTTTCTTGGAAGGAAAATGTGCATGTCTTTCAGCTTCTGTCTTTTGTAGCAGTTCTATGCTTTTTCCTTCACAGGAAAATATATTTCTGTACTGCTGGCTGAGATACTACATCTTCTGTGACTTAAGCATTTCTTGTTTATTCTTAGTCCTGCTTAGTCTAGATCTTCCTAAACTGTTGTAGAGGATGTGAGTAGTTTGAGAATGTTGATAAGACATAGTTTCTACAATTTGGTTCATAGAGGGCATCCCACTGCTCAGCAAAAGCCTTACCTAAAATGATCTTATATATCTCAGTAATGTGAGCATGCAGAAAATACTAGAAGGAGTGACAAAATGGTATTTCTTGTCTTAGGCTGTGTTACATTCTGTAAATCTTTGAAAGTATTCACTTTCAGTGTTGTTGGATCACTTTCCAGTAAATTCATTATCTCATAAGGATGACAGAGAGAATGCTGAAGAGAGTAGGAAAAAAAAATTGAGATAGAAACCCATGAAAACATAGTGAGTATTAGACCAAGCAGTTGAGAATGGAAATAGAGTGGAATTGGAGAAAGAGATTCTAATGCACACAAATGCTTTCCTAAATTCTATATATAGTATTTATCCACAGTTCATAGAGCTCACTATTTCTTCATTTACAAATAGGGTTAATATAATTAATTTTACCAACTTTTGGTGGGGACAACCTAAAGTCTGAAAAGTAGTTAGAATTTCTCAAAACACTTTTGGGAGGAAATTTTACTGTTGCTCAGTATTTAAAATGTAGAACATGATTTTGCAGCTCTGCTGTTTCCAGATCTAGTCACTGAAATGTACACTTTTTTTGAGCATTTTTTTTCCGACCATGATTCTAAAACACTTCTCCAATATTCTTTTAGACTCATTGTTTTTTCACTGGGATTTTCTCTCATATCAGTATTATTTAAAACAATGTCTATCTTCTATACTCTTTCTTAAAGTGATTTTTATTTAGCAGCATTTTTAATCTGGTCCAGGATCATATATGAATAATGATGTCAGGTGTCTATTCCCTGACTTTCACACTACACCAGTATTTGGATTGGCATATCTGAAAATGTGATGTTTGCAGGGAAGTAAGATAGGAAAGGAACAATTCAGCTGAGCACCTGCTGGGACTGATACTGCTGTTGAAAGAAATGAATGTTAAATATGAGATTTGGAAGACTTGGATTTGATTCCCTGTTCTGCCACAATCCTCCATTATAACTCTTTGGTAAATTATTTAGGTTCAAACTAACAAGTATTTCAGCAACTAGTTGCCATGGATTTTAGTGGAAGTCAGAAGACTGAACACTAAATATATATGACTCTGGTCTTAGAAACCTTGTTTCATATGTGTAAATCCTCAAAAATGGAAAAGAATGGAATAAAAACTATGAAGGTCTTAAATCTTATGTCAGTGGAACACTGAAAAATAAAATACCTCTTTGTCATGTAATTATTTCCATACTGATATAATTATTTCCAATTACTCATATAGGATAACTGCAAATGTGCCCCACCAGGAATAAAGGGTGCAATTTATCTCTTTCGGGACAATACGAAAAATCAAAATTTGATTTTTTTACAAAGAAAATTTCAGTGGGTAAAATCTGATTTGCCTTTTCCTTTTGAAATAAAATGCTTCTTAATAAAAGATGTTGATGGTGCCTTTTCCAAGTTCCTTCAAAAAGAGTAAATGAATCAGCAAATTTTTGAATGACACTTTCTCATGAAAGCATTGATGGCTAGTAGCATATGTAGACATCCTCTAGCATATTTACACATCTCACTCCCTTTCCCCAGAATAATATCAGAGATTAATAATTTTTCCTGTGTGAAGTTTATTGTCTTAGACCTAATTCTCACCTTAGAGAAAAAGAAGACTCCTCCCTGACCTTCCCCCCCAATAAGCTGAAGTTTCCATTTCCTGCTTTGTTCCGGCACGCCTTCTGAAATAATAGGTGGAAGTCACATTTCTTCAGTATTGCTTTCGTCATAGCAAAAAGGTCTTCAGAAGCCTGGGAAAACAAAAGTGAGTAAGTAGCAATTTGCGTTTAAGTTCAAAGGGTGGGTTTCACTTACAGTGGTATTGTTCACGTTAGCTGTCCAGAATGCTGTCTGTTGATCAGATTAGCTGAATGAGTGATCAAATATTCATTTTCTATAAGTCAACTTTAGTTAATGAAAACAGGGGCAATGTGAACTGAATCGGAAGAGGCAGATCATTTGAATTATCAAATGGGGATTTGAAAGGATAGTAAGATGTCTTTTGACTGTGGGAGAGCTTTACAAAACAGTTTGAAAAGCATATCAGCCCTATCTACTAGCAGTAGCTTTTTTCATAAGCTAAATCAGCTGTTCCTGAGGATAATAGTTATAGTTTGATGTTTGAATAAGATCACACTTGATTTGTGTATATCTCATTTGTGTATATTGTGTATTTGTGTATATTTCTGTCTCTGACATTTTTAATGTCAGCTTAATTTTTTCCCCTTTATTACATAGAATCTATTCTCGCAGAATATATAACAACAACTTTTAGTCAATATTCAAATTTTTTTCAATTATATTAATTAATATTAGAACATAAAACTTCTCAGCAAACTACTTTTAATCCCAGTTGTGGTTGTCTTTGCTGATACCATCCCCAGTAACAGTTTATAGTCAAATTTTTGAGGATTTATAATGCTTTTCACTTGAAGATGCAAGTATTTTCATAATAATTGCTGATGTGTGCAATAGAGTGTTGAAGAAACTAAGTGTATTGACTTTCCTATAGAAAATTTGGCTATTGGAAGAATTAGGTATATTTCACATGGCAGTATTGGTGGACTGTGCAGAATAAGCAAAAAATTAGATGTGAAGAACTAAATGTATACTACAAAGTACACGTCTGGAATTTCTTTAAATCTTTACTATAATATTACTTGTTTCTTTACAAATGTAGAATTCTCATATGAATAATGTTATAAACACTGAATCCCCCTTCTCCTTTTCATTGAGAAGGGGGAATCGTTGTATTAATATGTTTTTCTTTCCCTTATTCCACATCTCCCACTAAATGTTTAACTTATTGCAAGTGTCAAATCTATGCGAAATAATTTTTGGAAGAAAAATTCCATTTAAGACAGGAAATGATCGATATTGTTTCTTGGCAATAGGAATGGTACAATATGTCCCTTTCACAGATAATATCTCTGTTGTTCAACTCAAATAATAAGTATTTTCATTATTAAAATATGATTATTATCTTTTAAAAGTATTGACATCTGAACATTGTACTGATAATTCGTTCCACTTCATTTGTGATAACGATGATCTGAAGATAAACCAAAAAACTATTTTAACAGGAAATCATAGGAGTTTCGTATGATTTAACTTTTTTTCCATCTCTGGAATGAGTATTAAGAAAGGCTGATGATAAATCTCAGATGGAAATAGGTGGAGTCCCCTTTGTTCACATGAAAATACACAAAACATTCTTGTGTGTTTTATGTTGGATAGCTAGCATTTGATTTTCTTTTTTTAATGCAAAAAGCTATGTATTGTTTGCTTGCTTTCTTCCATTACAACTGTTCCCCTGAGTAACAAGAATTAATATTTTTAATTTAGTCAGAAGCATCCCGGTAAACTGAATTTGAGATGGAAAAATTATGTTATTTATATGTACTGTATATAGGCTTTGCTACATCCTACAGAAATCAAAGATTTTCAGATGTTAAGGAGGGACTATTTCCATTTGCATGGTAAAAGGTCTTTTAGTAGAGACATGATTTAAAGTACTTTTTGTTTTCTTTTGTTTTCCCCCGCTACTCCTATGTTGAAAACACTAAATCATTTTAAGTGATTCAGAAGGGTGTGAGGAACAATAACAACTAGCACTTCTTGGGATGGGAAAACTACTCTCTTCCCTAGTGAACAAGGAAGTCTATCCACACCCAGTATTTTCCAAAAGCCATTCACCACCAGAAGAGAATAAGAGAAGGCGGGTGAAACTGAATTCAGTATAGAGTAGGGATAAGATAAAGGCTGATAAAACATGTGAAGTAATGTTTCTCAAGGTACATTTCTAATTTGTTAGGAACTGTTTTAAAATGTTCACCACTGATACCTTGTCAAGGCATTATCGAAGGACCATGTTACAAGACTAGGAATTCAAAATACAATTTCCTTCAACACATTTTTACAATGCAATTTCTATCAAATACATATTTTTATGTAGTTTTATCAAAAGAACATAAACAGAAAATAGACAATCACCCCTAAAACATAAGTGCCATGCAGTCAGGACCTTTATATGAAATTCTTGCCTCAAAGTCCCCAGCATTTCAGTGGTGTGTTCTAAGACAGCTTAAAGTACTTTTGAGGTGGTTAGATCAGATGCTGTTGAAATAGTTCTTGAATCAAGTTTCCTAAACCAAAACATCACCTGAGATGCTTGAAGTTCTTGGTATTCTCAAAATTTCACACTCTTCTGTCTTTGAATAGGCAAACAAAAGTTGGGTTGGCACAAAGCACACATTATCTTGACAGATGAAGTCAAAGTCTTCCTAAGAAATACACCCGGCTGTTTTTTCTGCTAGATATGGATCCAGTAGAGGGACTATAATGGAAAATATGCTAACAGAAGTGTGCTGTACAGGATAGAAAGGAAGATGATCAGGATCTGGAAAAAGTTTAAATTTCAGCAGGTGCACTATATTGTCTAAGCAAGCCCTAAAGCTATTTGGAAAAGAGTGTAAATAAGTGATAAATTTGACCTGAGATCCATTCTTGAGGCAATAGCTACATTCCAGTACATATGCATCAGAAGACACCAACAAAGGATTGTGGGACTGCTAATTGAGGAAATCCATTTTTAATGTCTGCATTGGCTGGTCATCACATGTGGAACACAATGGTAAGCATATTTTTAAGAAAAAAATTGTCTTGTGAAAGCCCTCTAGATAGTCTCCTCTTAAATTGCTATTGGCTCAATGTTCTTTTCATTTGGCCCAGTGAAGTCAGTACATTTTTTTAATCTTCATATTATTTCAGAGAAATAGGTACATTCAAGTACTTGATCATTCAAGGAATAATTTTCCAGATAATTATAAAGTTTATGCAGATCAGAAATAATATCAATTTTAAATCAAAATTAAATTAAATGTTATCTTTTCTCTGAACACTCACCTTTTCAACTGAGTGGTCAAAGAAAAAAATAGCAAGAAATTCTAGCAATTGCCAAAATTTAAAGCATTATTTATTCTTTCAAAAGATAAAATGCTTCCCCAAATGCTAAATGCGAAGTATGTACACATTTTCTAATTTTGAAGCCTGAGGAAGCTGTGAGGGTATCCTAACTTTGAGGCCTTAGGAAGTCATGAGAGCCTCATCCTTAGGACCATTCCAGTTTTTGGTAAAAATATAAATTACAAAAGTGATTGTTTTGTTAGTTTTGTTTTGTTTTTCTCTTCATTCTCAAGAAGTGAAATCAACTTTTATTTTAGTCAAAATGAGCTCATTTCATGAGTCCAGAAGACTAGACAAGTGATCCTTACATGCGATCCTTAATTACATAAAACTGTTTTTAGTGTTAAATGTACTTTAACAAGTAATGCATTGGAGATGTTTAATGAATTTGCAGAAAATACAGTAAAGATTAGACAAAATGGAAAAATATCAATGTTCTAAGGATTTTCAGCTGATCTGTATGTTGCTAGGAGGTAACTCATTTTGGAACACAGGATTTGTCTTGTGAATACCTCTCACTGAAATATCATTCCAGTCATCAATAAATAACTTGTTTTATAGTTTAGAAAAAATAAAGAAGGCTAACATTTCTATAAATGCAACATAGCTGACTGATGTCCTTTAATGTGGAGGCTTGTGTGCAGCCTTTACACACTAAACCAATTTAATTATTATTAGCAGTACAAGTTCCTGAACTAGATTATTGTACTCTGAAATAGTTTATTAATTCTATAAAAAATAACTAGAAAAAAGATCTAATCTCAAGTTTAGCTGATATTCCATAAAACACTGAATTGCACAGAAGTTACGCATAGTGACAGCAAATAAATGATCAATAGCTTTCATACTTTAGGAGGAAATGCGGATACATTTTATAAGAATCGTTTCTTTGCTATTCAAATTTCATGATGTATACACTGTTGTCCTTTCTGAATACAATTTTCCTTCTACATGGTGGATGTGTTTGTCTTAGGTTTATGTTTTCTAGTGTACAGTCCTTGCCTTTGAGATTCGTTAGGATTCAAGAATGTATGTCAAAATACAATTTTTGTGGATTTTGAACTAGTTCCTCAAGTGGAAGATAAACAGGTCTGTTTTAATTGTGCACTAGAGAGGTCCTCTGATATTCCCTTCTTGCCAATGGGATTATTTCTTATATTGCATCTTAACTTGTACATAGATGAGTTTCACAACTTTTTTAACAGAAGTTTATAATACCTGAGGCTGACAGAATATTTAATGAGGATTGCTGGAGATTATTACTCCCACTTTTGTTTGTTTCTTTGTTTTGCTTTTTGTTCATTAAACTAACAGAGAAATGGGAAATGTAAAATAATAGTAGCAGGAAATTTTCTTCCTGTTTGTAAATCAAATACAATTTCAATATTCCCCTGAAAGTCCATGAGGAACTATATTTGAGACTAAATCATTCAGTTTAAGAATGAAGGCCTCTTGAGTTTGGGATTAAGTGTTTGCATATAAAGGAAGCTTCCAGGTGCTTCAAAGACTTCAGTATGGGGAGCTTTTGAAGCCATACTGTTTTATCACATACTATGTGGTAAGAATAAAGAGACCAATATGAATTAAATAATTAGGTATTTTTTATTATTATTTTTAACTTTAAAATTCGAGACACTTACTTTGTGCCTCATTAGGACAGATTTTGTTCTGTTATGTTAACAAATGCATAACAAAAAGATCTAAAAACAATTGCTTTATAACCACAGTGGAAACATTGCCCATATTTGGAGGAAGGACCATTTCAAATCACAATATGTGTAATTAACTCATGCTCTGCCT